GTGTGTGTGTGTGTGTGTGTGTGTGTGTGTGTGTGTGTGTGTGTGTGTGTGTTTTGTTATATTAGAACAGTAGAGATGAAATAAGACAGTTTGCCATGTTGCTACATATATAGGCATGGAACCCAGGAGATAGGTAACATGGAAAAATTGCTACTCAATTTGACTATTTATATAATGCTACTTCTTTTGTTTGGAGAATTCCTGCTGTAGATGTTTGGGAGGAAGAGGAAACTGAGCATGTGCTAAAATGCTGTGGAGAAGTCAGGTCATATGAGGACTAAACATGTTCAGTAGATTTAGTGACTGGGTGGGCTAGTTTTGTCAGCTTGACACAAACTATAGTCATCTGAGAGAAGAGAACTCAATTGAGAAAATGTCTCTATAAGATAGATCAGTCTGCAGACAAGCCTGGAGGGCATTTTCTTAATTATCAATTGATGGGGAGGGCCCAACCCATTGTGGCTGGGGGTCACCTCTGGACTTGGGTCCTTGGTTCTATAAGAAAGCAGGCTGAGCCTGGGGACCTTGGGAGAGGGTTGAGGGGGAGGGGAGTAGCAGGGAGGGGAGCAGAGAATTATGTAGAGCTCAATAAAAATCAATTAAAAAAAGAAAGAAAGAAAGAAAGTGGGCTGAGCAAGTCACGAGGAGCAAGACAGTAAGCAGCACTCCCCCATGGCCTCTGCATCAGCTCCTGCCTCTAGGTTCCTGCCCTGTTTGAGTTCCTACCTTGGCTTCCCTCAATTGACTGTGATTCAGACATGTAAGCCAAATAAGCCATACTTTCCCCAAGTTACTTTTGGTCATGTTTTTTTTTTTTTTTTTTTTTTTTTTTTTTTTGTGTGTTGGGGTGTGTGTGTGTGTGTGTGTGTGTGTGTGTGTGTTTTTTTAACACAGCAATAGAAACCTGAACTAAAACAATGATAGAATGTTATTTTAATGTTCAGTAAGGACAAAGCTTACGGAATTGGAAGGCAGATTGAAGTCACTTGAGAAATAAGCGAGGAGGAGACACTATGAGCTTGAGTGACTGTTTAAAAATGTGTCAGCTGGAGGTCGAGCAAATTGACTGTGGAGGAAGAGTCTCCAGAAGCCAATTCAGACAGCGATTTGTATAAAAAAAATTAAAAACTACCTTCAGGGGTGCTGAGGGCAAGGTGAAAAGTCTGTTTTAGCACAACATGTTGGAAAAGTCAAGAAGAAAAGAGAAGCTGATTGTACCTTTTCCCTAATTTCAAGCGGGCTAATGTGGAGAGAAACTGTGTTGGGGAGAAGATCTGTAGGAGTTAAGTCCAAGGCAGAGAGGTAGAACCAAGCGGAGGAAAACCCAGCATTGAGCAGAGTCCCATGGCACTTGTCCCCAGACCAGCAGCTCTCTAACTGGACTGAAGACCCACTCAACACTTGGAGATATCGCTCAGCCGCTAAGATCACTGACTGCTCTTCCAGAGATCCTGAACTCAATTCCCAGCAACCATGTGGTGGCTCATAGCCATCTGTAATGGGATCCAGTGCTCTCTTCTGGCATGCAGTTGTATATGTAGATAGAGCACTCACATACATAAAATACATACATATATACATACATACATAATGTACAAAAGCAAACAAACTGGTACTGTGTCTCACGCTACCGTCTCGCCAGCAAGAACCACGCGGGACACTAGGATCCTTCTGCAGAAATAGCTTTAATACCCCTTGGGAGAGAGAGCATCAGCCAACATGGCCGGGGACCCTGGACGAGGGGAACCCAACCCTTATAAAGGAAACAGTCCCTGCTTCGGACGTGTCACCCTTCGATTGGCCCGCTGCTCATAATCCTAGGTGATGCCTTGGGAGTAGGCAGGGACAGCAGTGGGAGGTTACCAAGCACATGTGCGCTCACCTGGTGGTGAAACCGGATGTCAGCGCCATCTTGTGATGGAATATGTGACTGCGGTCCTCTACAGTACTGGAAACCTAGCTAACTGCCCTGTGACAGTGAAGTTATTTATACAGGAGGGGAACCCACAATCACTACTTTACTAAACCAACAGAATCCCTAACAACAATCTAGACGTTTGTCCTTGTGCCCACAGATAAGTACAGCCTTACTCTTTATCAAGGAAACTTCTTTTTGCAACCGATAGAGACAGCTATAGAAAATCCCAACCAATCAAATTCTTAGTCCCAAGGGAAACATCGACAAAACATGCCCACACCCAAGTTTCAGGAAACATTGTGGAAGATGGGGAGGAAAGGTTGTACAAGTCAGAGGGTTGGGGAGTTTGCTGTGAGACTTTGTCTCTCAGTAACGACTGCCCAAACATGATCTGAACAAAGATGGCAGCAAAAAACATGTCAAAGTAAACCCAGGGTGTTGTTGTTAGTGTCACTACGTAAGGACCTACAGGGAAGGAATTCTGGGAGTGGGAGAGATAGTCTTCTCAGGGAAGAGCACAACACTTGGCTATCTAATATCAAATGGTCAGCTCTGAAATGTCACACATACGAGTGACTTTACAAGCATAGACATATATGCATGCAATAACAATAAATGAGGGCGTGGATTTGAAAGACAGCAAGGAGGGGTCTATGGGAGGGTTTGGAGGAAGGAAAGGGAAGGAAGAAATGTAATCATAATCTCAAAAAATGTTTCAAAAATTTGCACTCATAGAAGCAGAGGGCAGTTTAGAGATTGCTGAGGGTTAACTAGGAGAGATGGGAGATAGAAGCAGGTGATTTTAAATCAAAGGGCACATGATTTCAGCTAGGCAGGATGAGAAAATTCTGGAAAGCTAGTGTACATCCTGGTGACTAGAGACGATCATACTGCGTTTTGTACTTAATATATGATAAGAGTAGAAATTAAACAACCTCACCACCAACAAAATAGCAATTGCATGGAGGTGGTGGATATGCTACATAAATTAATTTGATTTCATTTCATAATTGCTATGACTTGTCTACGGATTGAGTGTGTTTCCCTCAAGGCTTCATGGTTGAAATCTAATCCCCATTTTGGGATATTAAGGTGGTAGATTTGTTCAGAAGTGGGGATTTGGGGTTCAAATTAGGATTAGATATAGTTACTGGAATGGAACCTTCAGAATTGAATTCTGATAGATATATAAAGAGAAGGTGGGGGACCAGAAGAGACACGGTTGACTGATATGCATGGTTGATCGTGGTATGATGCCTTGCACTGCTTTGGGGCATTATTGCCAAGAAGACCTCAGGAAATCTGAGCCAAAACATACATCATTAAGGCAAATTTGCCAGTCTGTAGTATTGTGCTATTAGCAATAGATAGAGAATCCAATAATGCATTGAAGTTTACTTGTTATGCTCTGTAAATATATACAGCTTTTATTTATAAGTTATACTCCGATCAGCCTGGGAAAACAAGATTCTCACATACAAAAAAGAATAAATCAGCTAAATTCTTATATCATCAAAACTTATTAGCCTTGATGACTTACTATCATTAATACCAGTGAACAATATAACGTGTTATAACAAAATTGAATACACAAGTGTGTGTGTATATAATCTGAGACGTTCAAGAAAATTGCTGGAAGTTTGTTTTTTAATTTAAATAATTTATGAAAACACCAATTGTTCAGATCATTTAGGAAGGTAATAAAAGTATTAGAAATATAAAATTGAGAAGCAGTATAGCTCAGCGGTAGAAGGCACAGTTAACAAACATGTTAACTGGGTTCAGTCCCTGGGTTCAGTCCCCATCACTAAGAGATTAAAAAATAAAAATAGACCCGGTTTTGGTGGCGCACACCTTTCATCCCAGCACTTGTGGGGGCAGAGGCAGGTGGATCTCTGTGAGTTCAAGGCCAACTTAGTCTACGGAGTGAGTTCCAGGACACCCAGGGATGTTACATAGAGAAACCCTGCCTCAAAAAATTAAATAAAATAGAATAATAAAATAAAAATAGGGGCAATTTAGGGGATTCTCTGTTTTTTCCCCCTGTATGTTCACTTTAGATACACAAATTCAAAAGCATAAATTATCTGGTGTATTATAGCTCCTAGGGAAAAGGCTTCCCCAACTGAAGTGCTACAGCTCTGTTCCTGCGGGAAGGGTTTCCCCAATGCGAGTGTTAAAGCTCAGATGGAGAGACATCCTGGCAGCCAGTAGCCAAGGAATACCACGAAATCACATGGCACAACAAACCTCATACAAGAGGTTTATTGGGAGGGAAAAAACCAGGAGAGTGTCTTTTTCTGCTGGGGGGTGGGGAGCCGCGAGATTTCTGGGATTGGTGAGCAGCACCAATCTTGAGAGGAGCACAGGGATTAGTGGGTTCTGTTTCATGGCCCTAGTTTGGTTGGGGCTTGGGGTCATATCAGGGTCAGGGCGTTTTCCTACATCTAGGGACAGTAGTTTAAAAAAAAAAAATTCTTTTTTTTTTTTAAATCAAATGAAAATCTCTTAAAATCTGCTTTCCAGGAAATTTTGAGAAGTTCCGAATTCAAGCTGGATATTTGAATTCAAGTTTCTCCGTGTGTTAATGTTCATTTTCCTGCTGATTTCCAAGACATTTTTGCACTAAAGGACTGGGTGGCCTTTAAAGAACACTGCTAGTCACCAGAAAGCCATAGATTCCTCTTGGCGCTGCTTTCTGACCCCAGCACCCATCCTGGGACTTTTGACGCCTCCACCTCCAGAAGGCTTGATTACCATGCTCCCGCTCCAACGTGATCTCGCGAGATTTGCTGCTGACCACGTGACCCTTGCGTGTGTGGGGTCTCCCAAGCCCTGCGCCAAAGGACTTAGACTCCGAAGGTTAGGTCGTCGACCGGACCGTGAGTTGGGGACCCCGCGAAGAGCGATGTTTGGGGGTCCATAGGGGCCCGTTAGGTGGAAGATGCGGGGCAGGGGCAGATGCGGGCGGGGAGGGCATGGCGCGGACCCATAGACTGCACGCCCTCCCAGGACGCACTTGGGCCTGGTGCTGAGGGACCGCGGCCTGGGCTGAGGAGAGCAACTGTGAGGGCTCCCCCCCCCCCCCAGCACTCCCCCCCCATAAATGGGGGGGGGGGATCGAAGCCGGCCTGGGGCGGGTCTAGGACCAAAAACTGTGGAAAACCTTAAGGAAAAGAAAAAGCTGTGGTGGCTCAGATGCAGCAAATCGCATCTCTCTAAGGTCCAGCCCTGTGAAGGATTTAAGAATTCACACCACCCTCCCCTTACAGTTGTTACAGAAGTTTTAAAATATTGGTTAAGATGTCTGGAGGTCTGTGGGTTCTAGTATTCAAAGACTTGCCTTTCCCAGCGCAAACTACCACAAGGACAATTTCCAGAACTTTCCACCTTGCAGCGCTTTTCAAAGGCCCATTCAGTTGATCATCAGGACTCAGGAAGAGCTGGCTACGAATTCAGCCCTTGACTGGAAGAGGCTCTCTCCTCCCCATGTCTTAATCCATCTGTATTTTTCTTGTAAGAATGCTACATTTGCCAGGCAGTGGTGGCTCACGCCTTTAATCCCAGCACGTGGGAGGCAGAGAGGCAGGCGAGTCTCTCTGAGTTTAAGGCCAGCCTGGTTTACAGACTGCTATATTTGAAAGGTTCTTACTTTATATATGCTGTTTTATGTATGGTTTCTGAAAGTTTTGTTATTTATTTTGCCCAGGATCCAAGATGACTGACAACCTGTTTGTCAGTTTGGACAGGCTTTTGTTAGAATTTGGTAGGTATAAAATGAAAATAAACAGTCTTTTGTATTAACATTTGACATTTAACCATGAAGTAAAATTACAAAAGAAGTGTTTATTTTAGTTTTCCAGTATGAACAAGACAAAAGTACTAAAGAAGCTATGATTCAAAGAATTAATAGTAAGTAGTTTTGTATGAAATAAATATTTTCATTTTTATTTTATAGTTACAGTGCTTAGAGCAACCTATAGTTGTTTGTATGTGAGAAAGATCTTTCTTTTGAGTAACAATGAGCTGTTTATCTTAGGGGTAATAGTTGTAATGAGTGTTGGTGATGATTAATGTTTGTACTCAACATTTTGTTAAGAATTTCTCAGAAATAATCCCTTATATACAACATTTTTTCCCCTTCAAATAACAAGGTAATTTCAAATATTTGAATTTTTTCTCTTGAAATAACAGAAAACCATAGGTTGGTAAATGGCATGCTTTCAGGAAGAATGATTTTTAAAAAAATAATAAGTAAAATATCAGAATTAAGTAAATAAATGCAATGCTTTTAATTTTTAAAATAGTTTAGTTCTGTTTAGTTTTGAAAACATAACTGTTAATTTCTTAGTATTCTAAAAAGAATTTTATTATCTTTTCTGCAATAAAAAAATGAAATATTAATTATTTCAGGACTGGAGAGATGGTTCAGTAGTTAAAAGCACTTGCTGCTTTTGTGAAAGACTCAGGGTCAGTTCCCAGCACCCACACTGATTCACAGCTTCTTGTAACTTTAGTTTCAGGGAGTCTTGACCTCTTCCAGTCTTCAGTGGACACTAGGCATGCACACAGCCACGTGTATACAGTCAGGCAAAATACTCATACACATAAATTTTTAAAAAATTATCCCAATTAAAAAAATTGTATCTTTTTATCATTTATTTAATCACGAGTAACAAGTGTGCTGATGTGTTTAACAATTGATGTGCAATGAACGAAATTTAACATTTATCAAAAATGAAAGCCTTTAGTCGTATCATTAATGAATAAATGTTTACATGTTTCATTTATAGCATTTATAGCTTTAAATGCCATCTAATCTAGCCCTCCATTATAAAAGATGTTGGGCAGGGCCGTTTGTTTTTCTTTAGGCTTATGTCCTCCTTAGCTTCTGGATCTAGGACTAGACCTGGCTTTGATTCTCTTGATTTTTAGTATAGATGCCCGTCTCTCTCAGGTCTTGTTTCCTTTCCATTTTCTGATTTTCCTTCTTTTAGGTAAGTTTCCATATACTTTTGTTTTTCTGGTATGTTTGTTTATTTTGAATTTATGATTTCTAGATAAATAAAACAAACATATTCTTTTTCAGAATGCCTTGAAAGTATTAAAGAAAACAAAGCAAATGTCTCTAACATATGTGAAGCTATAAACAAAACAGATGAGGAAATTGCTTATTACTGTAAACATAGTAAAGAAATGAAAGACTGCTATAGTAAGTAAGTATTTGACAGAAATGAACTTCCATTTCTTACAGAAATGTTGAGTTGGGAGTATAGCTCAATGGTAGGGCATTTGCCTAACATGTGCAAGGACTTTTTTTTTGACAACCACAGACAAAAATCCTATTTTAAAGTAACATTGTTTTCTCTGTCCCCCTTCTCTCCCTTCCTTCCCTTGTCTTCCTTCTTCCTTCTCTTTTCCCTCCCCTTTTCCCACTGGGAATTGAACCCAAGGCCTTGTATATTCTTCCTTTACACTGAACTAAACCCAAACTCCCAAGTTAGTATCCATTATTAGTAAAATAATTAAATTGTCTAGTTATATGCAACTGCAGAAGGTCTTACAGAAGATTCCACAGAAAATTAGAAATAAGAGTTATAATCTCACTAATTCAGGTTTGGTTAGTCTAATACTTAGTCTAAACAGAATTTTGTAAATTGAGAGTGTTGGCACATGCTTATGTACTAGCACTCAAGAGATAGAGGCAGAAGAATCAGAAATTCAAGTTTTCCTCAGCTACATAGATTCCCAGGCCAAGTTGAGATATAAGATTCTGCCTACAAATAGATAAATTATTTTGGGTGTGAGCTTGGTATGTAAAATTGCTATTGATCTTTGACTTTTCAAGATCATGGATTTCTGTAAGAATTTAAGCTAGGGACTGAAGAGATGGCCCAGAGTTAAGAGCACTCACTGCTCTTGCAAAGGCCCAGGGGTGAGTTTCCAGCACTCATACAGTGGCTCACAACAGGCTGTAACTTCAGCCCCAGGGGTTCCAATACCTTCTCTAGCCTCCATGGGCACTGAATGCATTTGGTGCATGAACCAACATGAAGGCAAAACACCCATACAGTAAAAAAAAAAAAATCAATCTAAAAATTTTCAAGATAAAAACTTAAGAAATATGTCTTTGGATTTATTCACTCATATTTTACTTGGTTGCAATTAAATCACATTTCTTATTTAAGGTTTAGCTGTAGGAAAACACTGTATATAACTGCCAATATCCAACATTAGGTGGTCTCATTAATTTAGGTATATACTTATTACTCAACAGTCAATAGAATTATGACATGCATGTTTGATATGGAAAGAAGTTAAAAGTACATTAGAAATAGAACAAAGCAGATAATAAAATCTCCTTCAAGTATGAACCCAACTAATAATTATATATCTAGATTTCCAAAATTAAGAAGATCCAAAGGTTGTACATCAAAATGTTTGTAGTGAGTATTTCCTTAGTGACTAGTGTGAGCATTTTTAAATGCACAGAATATATGTATATGTAATCTTTGAACCTCTAATTCTATTCTGGAGAAAATTTTCTAAGAATTGATCAGAAATATAGACAAATGTTTAAGTTCTGCTCAGCAAATGATAAAAGAGGATAAGTTATGTGTGATTATGACCTCAGTATTGTTAAAATGATAGTAAAATCTGGAGATAACTTGTTAAAGTAGTAATATTAGTTACTTAATATTAAGGAATGCAGATAGTGGTGCTGCAGGCCTTTAATCCCAGCACTTGGGAGGCAGAGGCAGGTAGATCTCTGAGTTGAGGCCAGCCTCGTATACAGAGCAAATTCCAGGACAGTCAGGACTGTTATAGACAGAAACCCTGTCTCAGAAAAAAGCTAAAAAAAAAGGGGGGGATGTAGATAGTTATTTTTCTGTATATACTTTTCTGTACTTACAGAATGAACATGCTTAAGTTTGAAGTTAAAAAAATATAAAAAAACAGAAAATTTCACGTACTACTTAAAACAGAGGTTTCATGGTATTCAGTAATTTAGATTTTCTTTTTTGTTGTTGTTGTTTTTGTTTCTGGTTTTTGGTTTTTCGAGACAGGGTTTCTCTGTGGCTTTGGAGCATGTCCTGGAACTAGCTCTTGTAGACCAGGCTGGCCTCGTACTCACAAAGATCTGCCCGCCTCTGCCTCTCAAGTGCTGGGATTAAAGGCGTGTGCCACCATCACCCAGTCTTTGTTTTTTTGTTTGTTTGTTTGTTTTGGAGATTCATTGTTCTTTAAATGATTACATTATTTTTTGTTCCTATAGTCATCTCACTATATTCATTTATCACTTTGAGATGGTAATCACAACTATCATTTTTTTCACAGCTGGAAGCCAACATGTGATGTTTTTCATAAACATGAAGATTATATACAAGATCAACTTACTGTTTACCAAGAAACCAATGAAAAAGACAAGTACAGTATATACATTTATATATAGTATATTAAATATATCAGTTCCATAAACTAGTATTGTCAGGGATTATATTTATTAATTATTAATTAATTAATTATATAATTACTAATAATTAGTATTAGTAAGAATGGTAATTGAAAAATGGAGCAAGTTTGTATTATGAGGGTTTTAAGTAAACAAATGCTATGTTCCATTGTAGGTCTGTTTATTTATTGTAAATCTCTATTTTGTGTGTGTTCAGCTACCGCCTCAGATATAAACTATTTATCAGAAGCAACTATTGTAGCAGAATCATTCAATGATTCTTATAGGAAACCATGTGAAGAAATACTTACATGTAGAGCTAGCTCATGAAAATTTGGGGATATTGACTTTTTTGCAATGCTGGAAATTAGGGTAATTGGGTGGAAGCAATACTTTTAAATGTATTTAAATACTTTAATTTTAAGATACACATGCAAGAATTTTGAAAAAAATTAGGTTAGCATACAAAATAATGGTATTTGTCATGGCATGTTTACACATATGCGTCATTCCTTGCTCTCATTTGCTTCCTTCCCTCATTAATCCCCCCTGTGCTCCCTCCCCACCTTTCACTAGTTAGCCCCCTCCTACTTTGTAAAGTCATTGCTATTTCCCACCTCTCTGAAAATCTCTTCCCTTTCTCTCACTTCTTCCTCCCCTTTCTAGTTTTGTTAGCCACACACACACCTTTATATAAAAATACACATACAGATTAAATCTTGGTTCTACATATAAAAAAACTTGTAACACTTTATTTTCAAAGATGAACCCTAAAAGAAGTAGGGATGAAAGTTATATATTTGGAGTTTCTATCATTAGAAATCATGAAAATGTGTAAGATGTCTCAAGGAAATGTATGGAGTAAAACCAGGAGCATGATAGTTTGAATGAGAATGGCCCCACAGGCTCATATGTTTGAATACTTGATGGACTGTTTGGGAAAGATCGAGAACTGTGGCCTTGTTGAAGGAGGTATGTCACTAGGGGTGAACTTTTAGTTTTCAAAAGCCTATGCCATTCCCAGTCAGCTCTTGTTCTCCCTCTCTTCTTCTCCTCCCCGTCCCCTCCTCTTCCTCCTCCTCTTCTTCTTTTCTTCGTCTTCATCTCCGTCTTCGTCATCTCCCTCGTCATGAACTCTAACCCTCTGGAACTGTCATCCCCCTATAAACTCTTCTATAAGTTGCCTTGGTTATGTTGTCTCTTCACAGCAATAGAAAAGTAACTACGACAAGGAGGAAGCTGGAGTATGCCATCTAAATTATCCCATCTACCTTTTGCCTCTAGGCTTTTCTTTCTCTCTTTCTGTATACCTTCTTTACTTCTTAACTACGTGGCTTGCTGTGTAGCTGAGTGGCTGGCCCCTGATGTCCTCCTCCTTTTCTTGCTCCTCAGTCCTCTCTTGCTTCCCAGTACCTCTTTTTTTCTTCAATTTATTCTCTCTGCCTGCCAGCCCACCTGTCCTTTTGCTTACCTAGCTACTGGCCATTCAGCTCTTTATTAGACCAGTCAGGTGTTTTAGGCAGGCAAAGTTAAACAGCTTTAGAGTTAAACAAATGCAACATAAAAGAATGCAGTACATCTTTGCATCATTAAACAAATGTTCCACAGCATAAATAAACATAGCATACCTTTAAATGATATTCCAAAACAATGTAGGACACCTTTAACTGAGTTAGAAATTCACACAGGTGGCCCTACATATTTTATTTGGTATAGATGCAGATTAGACTTTGAAATTCCTAATGGTCAAGGCAATGTAGAAATATCATCAGGTTGGGACTCAGACTGTTTGTTTAAAAAACAGTTCAGTTGCCTAAGATGAGTAACTTTTCCTGAAGCTTCAAATTTCTTTCCTGGATCTTCAAAATGAGGAAATGGAGAATGGAGTAATTAGAATTTTGTATGTGTGCATGCACATGCATGTGTGCTTATATCATTTAAATGTAATTCATGATCATTTAAGATTTTTTAAAATGTTTAATTTATTTAATGTGTGTGGGTTTTTTGTTTTGTTTTGCCTGCATGTGTGTCTGTTTACTGCAAGTGTATCCAATGTCTCTGGAGGTCAGAAGAAGGTATCAGCTCCCTTGAAGTTGCAATTATAGAGTTGTTAAGTGCTCCTAACTACTGAGCAATCTCTCTGGCCCCCCATCTCTCTCTCTCTCTCTCTCTCTCTCTCTCTCTCTCTCTCTTTATATATATATATATATATGTATACACACCCAAATATATAATTTTTAAAGAAAAAAAATGTTTCAATGAGAACCTAAAGCAAATCAGTCCAAATATGTGTCTTTTAAAAATAGTGTTTATTCTAGATAACCTTTCAAGCTAAACAGAGGTACTTAAGTGGAAGCAGTTGTTTCTAAACCAGTCATACAGATAATTTGAATTTATGACTCAGTATCAGACATTAAAAAAAAAGAAATGAAATAATGCACCAGCCATTCTATCTTCCATTTCTACCTCACTTTTCAGACATGGTTTCACTATGTATTCTCAACTAGCTTTCAGCTTGGTATATAGCCCACCCTTGCTTCATACTTTAAATTCTCTAGTCTCATTCTACCAGTTGCTTGCTTCTAATCTCTTATTCCTGCCTAAGGCATTTATGAAAACTAATATTGCTACTACTTGATAATGATGAATCTTCTTGAATCATCACTTAGGAAGTTATGTGGTCTTCTAGGATTACTATATAGAGTATGTTTGGTAATAAATATGTGTTGTGAACAAGATGGATGGATGCTAGTTTCATATGGTATGTTAGCTTTCTTAAAGGTATTTCTCTATTCCCTTTTACTGTTTTCCCAAGTTACTCCAAGTGATAAGTGATTAATTAGCAAATACACAATTTGGAGAAAGCTTATTTAGAGGCTCAACTTTCATATCTTGTTAAAGAGGACAGAGTTTTGTAATAGTGTCTTCTGGATATGACAGGATTGCCACAGTTATTAATAATAGCTGTGGTTGTTTGCACACTATCAAGACAGCTTTCTAGCATGGAGTCAGAAGGAGGTTCATGAGCCGCACCCACAGCTGAGGAGTAATGGATAGTTTATGGCTTCTATGGGTATAGAGAGTCAATTCTCTTTAAGCATGTAGTTTCTGGTAGGTTGACCATGCTCCAGTGGATGGCTGCACAGCCAGAAATCTATGAACAGTACAAATTGGATCAATAATTAACAAAAAGAAGACACAACGTTGGGGTTGGTGGGTAAGTAGAAATGGATCTGTGAGGAATTCAGCGTGAATATGGTCAAAATGCATTGCATAAAATTCTTAAATAATGTTATTAAAATGATGAGAATTGATGATAATTGAAGAGGATTAAGTAATGCATGAATAACTCAGGTAATAAGACAGAAGTATGGTAGAGGAGTTAAAGAGAGCTTGAAAGATAGAATATCCAGGGAAGTAAAGATAAGTAAATGATTGCCATTTAGGCTTAATGGAATAGACTTTAATAAATGATATTTGCTAAGTTTTTACATTTCTATATAATTTCTTTTAATTTTAACAGAAAAATGTATCATGGTTATATATGTCAGTATGAAGATGTTTTGAAACAATACCAACTAAAATACTCAGAAACACGTTTTTCATGTAAATATTATGAGAAGAAAAAAGAACATGAAGAAATTCAAAACAGAGTGTTGGCATGTACTGAACAACTAAAACATAATGAAACTATTCTTATGGAACTTCTAGGTATTAACATTTTTATTATATACTGATTTAGTTACAGCGTTTTTACAATGAAAAAATATAATCATTCTCAACTACAAATTTGTTTTGCAGTTCCTGCTCCGTTCCCATCACTTACTAAATGGACATTACACATGTATCCAAAACAGATTTCACTTATAATTTTATTAGATAAGTATAATTTCCTTTACTAATTGTTGGTTTGGTTTTTCAGTTTAAGTCATATTTTAAAAATCACTTTAAAAGTCTTCTGGGGTTAGTTTCCTTATATACCTATGTGATCAAATAACTTAAGAGAAAATAAAATAATATGTGCATCTGGCTTTAAAGTAGCAACCAAATGAAGAATTTTATCTTTCTTTGTCTTTTAAAAAGTTCCAGATGAATTGATTTTTAATTTCGCTTTAGGACAGAAGGTAGTAAGAAAGTGAGTCATAATTATTCATTTTGAAATGTGTTGGGTAGCTGTCTTGTGCTGGGAAATGCTGCAATTACAGAACTCCCTTGAAAAGAACTTGAGTTTAGCATGGGAAATAGACACCTAAATTAATCTGATAAATATTACTATAATAGATAGTTAAGTAATTTTTAAATAGTTTGTCTCACCTGTTTGTCAAAAAGATCTGTGATGATGAGCTTAAAACTTTAATCTTCTCTAAACCCTTAGAATCCTTTATTTGCTGTTTTATCGGATTATAATTCCACTGTGGTGTCTTTTTTATCCATGCATTCTGTTTTGTTCCCATTCCCATTCCAAAGCCATTGTTTTAATGCCTCTACTACTTGCTTTCTCCATGTTTTGGTTTTAGACTGTTTTACTTTTTTTTATGGTTTATTTAACTTTACTTTATGTGCATTGGTGTGAAGGTGTCAGATCCCTTGCAACTGGATATTCAGACAGTTGTGAGCTGCCATGTGGGTGCTGTGAATTGAACCTGGGTCCTCTGGAAGAGCAGTCAGTACCCTTAACCACTGAGTCATCTCTCCAGCCCCCTTTATTATATTTATTTGCTGTGCATTAAATGCTCAGTGGGAAGGATCAGAACTTGGTAATTTAAGATACAGCTAAAGTTTAAGGGGTTGGTTATGATTTGGGAGGACATAACAAAATTTGAATGACCAAGAGGTAGGAGGTAGGAAGAATTAAAGAATTAGGGTTTAAGTTTTTATATGTAAATTTTTAAATAGACACTTTTGATAATAACACTTGATAGACCATTCACTTGAAGTTTTGGTTGTAGCATACAAATCATGTATATTATAAAGCAAGATAGGAAGGATTTAAAAAGTTTCCTAAGAGTTTTATTCATGGTTTATTATTATAATCAGTTCTAGTTTTCCTAAGTGGATTATACAGTAACTTAATAAACTATGTTAATAGTTTATTAACATAGTTTATGTTACTATGGGAAATACTCTGTAGGTATAAACTATTTCAAGCAGGAAAACCAGATGGGGAGCTCTTTTAAGTTATACAGGATACATTGATGAATATTATGGATAAAGAAAAGGGAAATTTGAGTGGTTTTTTAATGTTGGCTTTGGAGTAAATAAATGATAGAAACTTAAGTTAAATTTGTCTTTGAATTGATTATATTTTATTAGTTATGCCAAGTGACACAATGAACTTGCATAGAAAAAGAAGAGAATTGTACCTTGTAAAAATATTTCATTGAACGAAAAAACCCCAAGTATTCTTGATAGAATGTAAATTTTAAGTTCATTAATATACTATAGGTAAACTATTTGTATTAGCATTACTTGTATTTTCAGATACTAATTATCAATTTTGTAGAAAATACATACAAATAGTATATATTAATTATATAATAAATGTAAATTTTATTTTGTGCCTGTTCCTTAACATAAAAAGAGTTAATTTGAGATATAAAACACAAGACATTCTTAAATGTGCCAACAATTTTACCAAGAGATCACTCGAATTGGAGAAAGAAGCGGATGATATGGAAATAGAAATTAATTCTTTAAATAAGGTATATATTATATTTTAATATATTCTTAATGTATAAATATGAGATAATATTAGTCTACAGTCTTAGAGGAACAGTTTTTAAAAGACAGTTTAAGTATAGAGAGAGGCCAATTTATTTACCTTAGTGAAGCCAAAATATATTTCAGGTTCTGAACTTATGTAACTCTTCGTTTGGGGGAATAGTTTGGATTTCTTTGAGGTATGAGGAGAGAAGATGAAGAGAGAACAGGATGTAACTTAGTTATAAGAATTGATTTCTTTTTTTTTTTTTTTTGGTGAAGGTTCAAACTAGGCACCAGTGCTTGTTAGACTATTGCATTACTGGGTGCACCCTCAGCCAGAATTTAAAGAACAACAGTGTCTTTGAAAGAGAAAACAAAATAGTAAATAGTTTAGTGACTTGGAAAAACTTATAATTGTAGTTAATAACATTTAAAAGTCTAGGATAAAAATAGTTTTTAGAATTTTTCTGTAATACATTTCTATATCATCCCTTGAGTTGTGGATTTTCTTAATTAATTTATTTAATTAATATTAATTAATTTATTTTATTTGTATGAGTATTTTTTTTCTACATATATGTGCCCTACATTCAGGCCTGGTGCCTGTGGAGGTGAAAAAAGGCATCAGATTCCCTAGAACTGGAATTTGGGTGGTTGTGAGCCATCATACAAATGCTGGAAACTGAACCTAGGTCCCCTGTAAGAGCAGCCGGTGCGCTTAATCATTAGCCATTTCTCCATCCATGACATGGCAGTTTTCACTAAATACTACCAAAAGTACAAATCTGAGTTTCTAGGGGAAAAACAAACAAAAAAAAAACCGAATCAAAATGTGTTTATTAGTTAAGAAAAGTATTTATGTCTGACTGCACTGAAGGCTCTCTGTCTCTGTCTCTCTGTGTCTCTGTCTCTGTCTCTGTCTCTGTCTCTCTCTCTCTCTCTCTGTGTGTGTGTGTGTGTGTGTGTGTGTGTGTGTGTGTGTACACATACTTAAAGGCCAGAGATTAACATTGGGTATCTTCCACTAACCACCTGAAAATGAAACTTATCCATTTGGGTTGACTGACTGGCCAGTGCGCTTGAGAGATCTGTTTGTTTCCACCTCCCCAGTACTGGATTACAGGCTCATCCCCTTGTTACCTAGCTTGTATGTGGGCACTGGGGATCTGACCTGAGATCCTTATGCTTTCAGGGCAAACTCCTTGCCCACTAAGTTTTCTCTCTTTAAATTCCAGGCAGTGCTTCTACCATAGTCTTCCAGGTTCTAAGAATTGCAAGTATGAGCTGTCATAAAGCTAATTATTTTGTTTTTCTTATTTTTCTTTTTAGCAGATTGCAAGACTTTTTGAAAGTAAGAATTTTTCAGAAATACTAGAAGAAAAGAATAAAAATACAGAAAAGAGAAAAGAAATTAAAGAAAGGTATAGGTAAACTTTAAAACTGAATTTAATATGAATTCTACAGGTAAAATTTTGAGTCTGTATCTGATATTATGTTATGCAAGCAATTTTTCTGTTACTCTTATGCAATTACTATTTCTGTAAATGTTATGAACTAATATCCAAAACTGCTTGTGGTTTAGGAAGACCAAATATATCATACAACAAGAAATAGGGTAGGAGCACCTCATCTGTTCTTTTTGTTGTTGTTGTTGCTGTTGTTGGAGACAAGGTTTCTCTGTAACAGCCCAGACTGTCCTGGAACTTGCTTTGTGGATTAGGCTGGCCTTGAACACACAAAGATCTGCCTGCCTCTGCCTCTCAGGTTTATCTTTTCTATAACCTGTCAATATACAAAAAAATTATTCAGTTTCTTTGGTAGGACTGCAACAGTTACACAATAGAGAAGCAGTGTTTTACCCTTTTTTAAACTTGCTTTGTTACCAGCTTTACTAGTTCTTCCTTACCTTAAAGAGTGAGGACGAGACTCCAAATTCTTCTGAATCTGCATCATTGCGTATTTTATTGATACTTGTGGAGATAATAGAAGGATCAATGAGGCATAAAAAGCACAATGATTTTACCTGTTACTATAAGAGAGGAAAATACTTGTATTACTTTTTGATGCTGTTCCTAATCAACTTTCTTCTTTTTGAAGAAAACGGCACATAGTCTATTTTTGTTCTTAAATTTCACTCCTTGGACTCTATTACCTTTATCCTAATATATTTCTAACATACTCCCCTCCTGAGTTAATTTCCATGATCCTACTTCTTTGGAACTGTTACATTGATGCTGCCACTCCTACTTATTACTTATTACCTCTTGTCAATTTGACATTGATTTTATATATTTATGTATTAATTTACATATTCTATGTATTTGCAAATATAGAATTTTATTTTGTATACACTTCAATATGATATTATAAAATGTTTTATATTAAGAGGAACTTACATAGCTAGTTAGTGGTTTTTACTCACTATATACTACTTTACTACTCATGCTTTTCCTTTCTGTAGTTTCAGTTACTCATGCCCAATCATGGTTTTAAAATATTAAATTGGACATTTCAGGATAAACAAATTGAACACCATTCTGAATAGAATGATGAAGTCTCATGCCATGCTGCTCCTTTCCACATAAATTGTGAATCATTCCTTTGTCGAGTGAATCAGTGTTAGATGCACTACCTGCCTGTTGATTGTTTAGTATCCATCTCAGTTATCAAATCATCTGTGGTGATATCCTGTGTTTATGCCAAGGATAAACTTTATATTTAAATTGGCCCCTACATACAAGAGTAGCAATGCTGGGAATTGTGATATGTCAGAGAGAGACTATTAAGTGTTTTCTTTAAGTGATAGTTTCAACTTAAGGGATGAAAACAATAATATACTTTGGTTGTTAAGATTTGTGATATCAAATTTATTTGTGAAACTCTGAAGAAGGAAGAAATAAATACCACTTTTATTCTCATACTTTAATGCAGAAGTTATACCTACAGTGTACAATAATTTCTTAGTTAAGATAAAAAAGACTTTAAGAATGTGCATGCTAGTATGTATAAGAAAATATGTAAGCTTTGGTACTAGTTGTTTAAGCAATCATTGAGGGTTGGGGGCCATAGAATATATCTTCTATTCACAAAAGGAGAATGATACATTTTTGATAGTGTTTATACTTACTTGATTTAGAAAAAACTCAGTAAAGTTATTCTTACATAAAAAAGGTTAAAAGACACATTTATGGCTGTAATATTGTATTGCTTTACTAATTTCTGTACTCATGATAGTTGATTTGTTTCTAAATAAATCTTTTTAAAATTTGAAGTACTCTGAAATCTATGTTATTTATAGTGAAAGTGTATAAAATGGTTTTGGTATTTTTAAAAATGTTTATGTTTAAAAGGAAGAATGTAGTACACTGAGAAGAGCACTCTACTTAATCAGGACAGTTCTGGCATTGTTATTATTAATTATACTATTACCAAGTAATTTAATTCTGTGATAAAATCTGTTAAATGCTCTGCAAAACCAGTATCATGATTTGCAATAATGAAGAGTTTTAACTGTTGAGTATTGAAGTATCCCTTCTGGATACTTAAATTTAATTTTTACTTAGCTAATAGTGAATGTAAACTCTCCTCTTCAGAATTTTTGAAAAAGATGAGCACGTGTTGAACAGATCGTCTCAGAGTAGCCACTTACTATCACCTTGTGAGTCTCAGAAATTTGTAAGACTAATAAAGATACATTCTTCAGAACCAAGAGTTAAAGGTACAGAATTTGTTTATCATTTAGAAACCTCATTTTTTCTTGACAGAGAGGTAATAAAAAGTAATTTTAGTTATCACTTGGTGTAAGCAATGGCAAACAATACTGAAGATGTGTAGGCATGGGAAAGTAACATTTTAACTCTTCTTGAGAGCCAACAGGATGTGACTTGTACACGTATCTTTTCATTTTTGGAAAGGAAATCATTTGTGTAATGCTTTTTAAAAGTGTTATAGTCTGGTAGCACGAATGTCAGACAAGGATGATTAGCTCTATACTAAAGGGACAGTTGTTGTAATATAGTGATGGTCGTTGAAATGTTTAACTCAATTTCATTCAAGGGTCTGCAGATTAATCACATTGTATTATTTTAATTTTTCTTCATTAATATCACTACTCTGTCTTCTTTAGAATTTTAAGAGTAGTTTTGTCACTTGGCCATTTTGTCATTTCACATTCATGATTATTGTAATAACTAGTATATAGTAGTGAATTAGAAGGCTTGAAATAATTTCATATTTTAAGATAAATACTCTTAATGTTGGAGAGGTGAAGGCTTGGTCTTGGTGTATAGCTCAATGACAGAGTGTAAGCTTAACATATATAGGCAATGAGTTTAATATCATGTTTGGTTTTGTTTTTGGAATTAATTTGAAATAATTATATATACTTAATATATATTTAATCTAGATAAAAAAGAAGAAAATTCAGTCAATCAAGAAGAAAATTCAGTCAATCAGTCAAAGTTTTCTAGTAGTGATTTGAGACAAAAAGAAAATGATTCACAGGTGTGTTTTCTGTTTTTAATGTCATAAATGTTTCCATTAAATGAAATAATAAATGTAGGTAGGATACAAGGATGTATGTGTGTGCTTATGTATACATGCATGTACTACTATTACCTCATTGTCTAAAACATGTAAGAGTTTCAGTATGGCATTCAGTATAAACTTCCCCTTGTGACTAAATATATAAAAATTTTTTAAAAATACAAAACCTGGTAGTTAGTAGATCAAAACTTTTGAGAAATATCTGTTAAACCCTTCATTACAGTACTGATTGCAAAGGCTGTACCCCCAACATTGTTTCACAAAGATTTCTGTCACTAGCAACGTATCAGAAACAATTAAATTTTTTTTCTTGTTTTTTCAAGACAGGGTTTCTCCATGTAACAGTCCTTGCTATCTTGAAATTCTCTTTGTAGGTCTGGCTGGCCTTGGACTCACAAAGCTCTGACTTGCCTCTGCCTCAAGTGCTGGTATCAGAGGCATGTACAACCAGGCCTGGTGACAATTTACTTATAAAGAGAAAAAAAATGTGACTCCTACAACAATATGGATTGTTGCTCTTGATTTTGGTTTACTACCAAAGCTTAAAGGTTCAAGATCCTATTGCTGAAGATACCATACATTTCCAATATAGGACTTAGAAGATTTGAGTTTGATCTGACCGGGAAGTCTCCCTGCTGAAAACAAGTTCTCTTGGTATTCAAAGATGCTATTTAAGCTACCAAGGGAGAAAAACAAATAATATTCCTACATCCAATAAGGCCTGTGAACCACAACAAAGAGGTGTATATCACTGTCTCTTTATTCCATTGAGACAGTGTCTCTCACTGAACCTAACCCTTGATATTTCAGATAAGGCGACTGGCCCATTGAGCTCCTGGGACCTGCCTGTGCCAGAATCCCATGCTCAACTGTTACTTGGGTGCTGGAAATTCAAATTCAGATCCTCATGCTTGCACAGCAAGTGCATTACCAAAAGCCATTTCCCTAGCCCCTAAAAAGTACGTATATATGCAGAGAGGCAGAGAGACAGAGACAGAGAGGCAAGGTCTTGAGATACAATGTTGAGTGGCCTCAAACCCAACTTCCTCTTGCCTCTGCCTCATAAGTACTGGGATTATAGGCATACATGACCACACACACACGCGCGCACACAAACACCACTTAACTAATTCTAAATAATTTGCTGCCTTGTCATAATGAAAAATAGAAGTTAAACAAAAAGAACATTTTCACTATAGTGATACATATCTTTAATTGCAGTATTCATGAAATAGAGGCAAACAGATCTCTGTGAGTTTGAGGCCAACCTGGTCTACATAGCAAGTTCTAGGCCAACCAGGGCTACATAGTAAAACTTGTCTTAGGGAGGAAAATAAAAAAAGAACCCTTTCTTGGGAAAACTAGGCTGCCAAGGGAAAAGAAATTTACATTTCAGATTATTTGGGGGAGTATAAAAGAAAATAGAATTTATAAGATTTAACAAAGTACTATAAGACATGAAACAAACTAGTTCTCAGAGCAAAAGGTATTTTATAAATAAACAGCAGAAAGTGAAAAAATTTAAATGTCAAGCATTTCTACTTCAAAATGTACACAATAGATTAGTAAACAGAAAAGCAAAAATTAGTGACATTAAAAGATTTGGTTAATGAGTCTAAACAAATAACCCTCGTCCCCACAAAACAATGGCGCCAAAAAAAAAGATAAGTGTGTTTATCTTCTGGATAAACAGAAGATCATTCTAAATATGGAAAATAATTTTTTAAAAAAGCAGAATGCTACATAAGACTTTTTAGGCACTAAGTCTTGGGTCAGATGGATATTTCTGTAAGCCAATTTAAGTTATAAGCAGGCTAAAAAAATGAATAAAAGAAAACCACAAGTATATAGTCTCCCAGGCAGAACAAATGCAATATCTAATAGCTAGTGTTATCCTTCTCCCTACTCTTTTCACCATATAGACCTAGACTCAGGTTCTCAGGTGAACTCCAGAAAGCTTTCAGATTGCATCAGATGATGGTCCTGACTGTTGTTGTTTTTCAAGCCAGTATTCATAACCACTAAGCTACCTTTCCAGTTCCTGCTTTTATTTCCTTAAAATCACTACCCTTGCTAGGTGGTAGCGGCACACGCCTTTGATCCCAGCTCTCAGGATGTAGAAGCAGGTGGATCTCTGTGACTTCGAGGCTAGCCTGTTCTACAAGTGCTAGTTCCAGGACATTCACCAAAGCTACAGAGAAACCCTGTCTTGAAAAACAAAAACAAAACAAAACAAAAAAGATACTTCAAGGACTGTCAGCCATCAAAAATTTAATTCACTTTTTGCATAAAAAGTAAAATGCATAATCCACATCCATAAAATGTACTATTTAATAAAGTGTAAGTTCAATGACTTTTCATATACAGGTTGCACAACTGTCACCACTGATCCCAGAATATTTATATCATCTCATATGTTTTTTAAAGGACATAGAAATAAGGTAGTCAACTTGATTAGTGAATATGGGTAAGAAAAAATTTTAAAAAATTATATTCAATGTAAAAAATACCACAAATAGTTACCATACTTGTCAAAAACATCAAATTATGTAATAATCCTAAATCTTTTTGTTTCTCAGCTTATATGCCTTTATGTTTCCTATGCAGTTATTTCAATTAATGTGTGTAGTTGTAGATATTGATAATGGTGATGATTATGAGAATTGAAATGCTAATGTAATTAGAAACTTCAGTATAACTATGATACATGATTATTATTTTGTATAGGAAATCTAATTCTTAATTTTTTCTTTCAGATATTTAATGACTCTGATATGGATAGTAGTTCAAAATGTTCACATGTTACAGGTTTTATGCAATTCAGGTAATTTTTAAAATAAGAAAATGCCCAAAGGGTTGGGGTATGGTTCAGTGCTATTGTATTTGACTGCTTTCAGTTCCTAGTGCTGCCTCCCCCAAACAAAAGAAATGTTATCATATCTGAGATAATTTGTAAATGTTGACTCTGAAGTAATAAAAATTATATTTGTTGCATTTTAGGTTGAATCAGTCAAATTGCAGTCAATGGATTGAAAAAGGACATACAGGTATTTACTGTTTATGATTTTCCTGAATACAAGTTTTGTCAGTTTTTATATTAAATAAATTATCTGAATTTTTCATCTCTGGTTAATGGACACAAATGTGGTTTAAGGATATATTTTTATCAGAAAATAAAATGAATACATTGACTTATAGAAAATTTGGAAAACAGAAAAATATAAAGGAAACAAAATATCACTAACCAGGCATAACTGAGATAATACATCCTGATGTATATGTCTCATCTACATAGTCTCATAGTCTTTTTTTAAATGCACGGATATATTTTTTCTCTAGCCCCCAAATTTGAATTATATATGTAATTTATATACCATTTTCCTACTCAACAATATACAATCATCACAAATAAAAAATAGCATGAGGTTATGTTTCATATCATTAATTTTATTTGTAATGACTGCATAGTATTCCAATGAATAAATACAGCAGATTTCAACTATTCTCATATCTACTTGTTTCCAAGTATTTTTGCTAATATAAATAATGCTCCCTGTATTAGTTTATATTAACTTTTGCTGCTTTGACTATTTTATTTGGATGAATTTAATAGAAATGTTACTGGACACACACACACACACGCACACACACACATATATATATGAGTTTATTTCTCCAAGATCAATTTAACTGTTGGAGCTATAGCATACAATAGAAGGTTTTAATCTTTTCCAAATGTCTGTATATGGGTATATACAGGTAGATGTGTAGTTACTAAAGCATACACATGATTATATGTTTGTATATTGTATACCATGTGCATGTACATGTAGCACAAATTCTAATTGGTCTTAATAAATAAAACCCAGAGTCAGATATTAGGGGGTGAAAACTGAAGGATCAGAGAAGCAGAGCAGCCAGTTGCTGGAGAGACCTTTTACCTCTACCGATGCTCAGACCATAAGGGCCAATTCTGTCCTCAGACTGCATTGAGCTCCTGTCTCCTCCTGCTTTATATTCCTCTCTCCACCCAGCAATATCACTCCTGTTTCCACCTCCCTACTGCTGGGATTAAATGTGTGGAATCCCGAGTGCTGGAATCACCCTCGTGTGACTTGTTTCTCTTTTAGACAGATTCAATCTTGTGTAGCCCAGTGTGGTCTTGAACTAATAGAGATCACTCTGCCTCTGTCTCTTGAGTCCTGGGATTAAAGATTTGTGCCACCATTCCCTGGCCCCTAATGGTTTAGCTCTGCACTCTGTTCTTCAGGCAAGCTTTATTTGTTAAAACATTAAAAAAAAATTATTACATCTTCCCTCTTTTTCTAAAACAAAAAAGAAGGCTGTAATGAATATAAGAAAGACTATATACATTAAGTAAATAACTATATATAATATATACAATATAATATGCACATCAACAATGTCTAGTCCATTTGCATTTGACAAATTCAGAGAAAATACTCCATTATCTATCCTATCTTGGTAGTCTTGGGAATGTGGGCGTCATGCTCTTAAATTTGCTTCCTGCTGTCTGGGGGCGACAGCATCTTTATGGGATCCTGAAAAGAAAAAATTGAATTGTCAAGTCCTGGGACAGGTAGCTCTTTCATTTGTTGTCCAGTTTCTGTGTAATGGGAAGGTGCACGGATTGTCTCAAGCCCTAGCTAGAGTAGTCTGTGAAGCCAGACCATCTCAACTTGTCAACTAGAAATTGTTCTGAGCAGTTTTTAGTCCTAAACTGATCTTTAGGTGGTGTTTTCAGCTTAGTGGTGTTATCATAGTTCTGGAGGAATCATCAATGTGGGACCCCATCCTTCTTTTGGAGACTTCAAAGATTACTGTTAGGCATGCTCATGGTTCACTGAAGAAAACTGATAGAGACTCAGACCCAAAATCATAAACAGGAAGGTAGATGAAACCTTTTTCTAGAAATAGTACTTTATATGACTAGTAATATCATGACAAAAAGTTTAAATGAATATATATATATATATATATAAGTTTATATATCTTAAGAGAAACTGTTAAAGAATCTATATAAGACTAAAGGATTATGAGATTGGTAGCAATAAAATAGTCCTTAAAATTTTGCTTTTCTTCTGTCCCATATCAGATGGCTTTTCTGGCATGATACAGAGATTTTGAATTTCACTTTAATAAGCATGGTTGGGTTTAGAGAAGGAGAGAGCCACACTCCAACTGCAAAGCCAGCTTTAATCTTTAATTGGACTAGGATTACAAAAAGACCATTTGCATTACATGTCTGTAGAAACAAACATTTGGGAAGATTTGTGAAATTTTATCCTGTTGGAAATGTGATACACCAATCGACCAATTTATTCTTTGAGACTTTTTTCTAGATTTGTCCTTTTTCTTCAGCTATCTCATTTGTCCAGTAGTCTTCAGATTTCTTAGCTGGATGTCTTCATTCTCCTGAAAAGACAAAAACAAAAACCCTTCTCTTTTGGCAAGTTATATCTGATCAAATGAAAAGCATTTGTTAGTTTTATAGGTTGGTTTAAATGGCCATGCTGCTTGATGAACTGTGGGCCCATCCTCTAATTAAGAGTTGTCTCTTGTTCAAATCTCAATTTTGATGGTACCCATAACTTTTCTTCTCCTGTGGAAACAAAAGCAAAAACCCTTCCCCAACCTAACACATGTCTTGGTTTCCTTTCTGAGGTCAGTACATCTTTATATTGACTGATTTAATTCTGTAGTTTTTTTCTACTATACAATGCCTCTCCACAGCTGTTGTTCCTTTATCATTAGCATTTAGAAAATTTAAAGTTAATAAAGCATTATGCAATCTATTTCTGGGCAGTATTTATCATCCCTTTCTGTTTGTTTAACATATCCTCTATAGTTTGATTTGATCTTTATATAACTACCTGGCCTGTATGATTGTGTGGTATACATGTAATATGCTTTATATTATGATAAGCAAAAAAACGGTTTCATTTTCTTAGAGACATATGCTGGAGCCTTGTCTGTTTTTATTTGAACAGGTTTACCTATGGTGGCCATAACTTTTAGCAAATGTGTGATTACCAAATCAGCTTTTTACGAACTCAAAGCAGTTGTCTGTTGAAAACCTGAATAGATATCAGTTGTGTGGTGTACATATTTTAGTTTCTCAAATGTTACAAAATGGAACACATCCATCTGCCATATTTTATTTTTTTTGAGTACCCTTTGGTTTACTTCCTGCAGGTAGTGGTGTTTGGTTGTATAAAGAACAAGTAGGACATTTTCTTAAAATTTCCTTATCATCTTGTCACATGATAGAAAAGTCTTTTTTTTTTTACCTTTGCTATTGACATGACTTTTTTTTATGAAATTCTAAGGTCTCCAGCACATTTCCAATAAATAATTGATTGATTTCTGCATTACCTTGTGCTAGAGTGCAACCGTTATTCCCTACTGCATCTAACTTCCCTGGGGGGCAGAGGGTGAGTCAAAACAGAGTACTACAACACAGACGCCGGGAGTTTGTGAGCAAAACTCAGTTTCTTACAAAAGAGGATAAGTTACATAGGGCAGAAATAACAGCGATTGAAGGTTGTGCTCTCATCTGTCATGTTAGCAATGTGTGATAGGCTCTGGGTTTGTGTCAGTCATTGTTGGCTTCTGGGCAGATTATGAAACTAGCTTTGTGGGAGCACCTTAGTTTTGTAGAAGTATTTTTATTGCATGAGCTTGCTTTTTGATTTGTTGGTATATGCCTGCTATACTAGAGTATCTGGCAGACCTGTATGGATCAGATGTGTGTTATGGAATATATATATATGGAAAGATGCCTATTTCTAATTATATCTTGTAATTGAATAAATAATGAAACTACTTCTGTATCATCTGGTATAAATTCAGCAGTTTCAGTATGCAAAATAACTCTTTCTGCATATTTCAAATCTGTAACTATAGTGAGAGGTTCTTTAAAATCCCTTAGTACCATGGGAATAGCATATAATTCTGACTTTTAAACAGAATCCACTTTACTTAAGTTTTCTGATTTGTAATGTGCCTTTCCTGATTTATTTGCATTAGTATAGAATGTAGAAGCTCTAGTTATTGGTGTGTCCTATAAAATGTGAGGAAGGATCTAGCTAGTTCTCATTATAAGTTGAACTCTCATGGTTTTGGGATAGTTATTGCTAATCTCTCTCAAAAATTATTATAAGCTCTTTGCCAGGGTTCACTTTCTGCCCATAATTTGTCAATTTCATCATTATTAAAAGAAATTATTACAATATTTTCAGCTGGGTCTATTCCTGCTAATTTATGAAGTCTCAATTCTTGTTTTAGAATTAACTCAGAGACCTTTTCCACATAAGTTTTTAATTTTTTACTCAGTTTATATGGTAAAAAGATCCATTCTAAGATAATATCTTCCCTCCTCTTTAAAATTCCTGTAGGGGAATGTTTGGAAGGTACTAGACCAGAATGCAGTTAAGATTCAGATCCACATGATCCACATGTGCCTTCTGTAATTTCTCTTCAATCAAAGCCAATTTTCTCTCAGTTTCAGCTGATAATTCTCTGACAATTAATTCCCTGTCTCATGTTTTGTTTAAATTAATCAGGTCACCAGAACCTCTCTCAATAGTGCACTGTAGATGGGAAATGTTTTCTGACAATCTTCGGAAGTCATTGAGAGTCCGTAATTGATCTCTCCTAATTTGCATTTTTGAGGTCTAGTATTTTGTAAACCTATTTTATAGCCTAAATAATTAATAGAATATCCTCTTTGTATTTTTTCAGGAGCAAGTTGTAATCCCCAACAAGGCAAAATTTTCTATATATATATACTTATATATATTCATATATATATATATATTCTAAAGTATCTACATTTGAATCAGATAACAAAATACTGTTCATGTAATGATACACTATAGATTCAGGAAATTGCTTTATATATCATTTCCAATGGTTGATGCACAAAATATTGGCACAAGGTGAGACTAACATTCCCAGTGGGAGAACCTTTCATACAGAATTCCAAAGGCTGGTTGATTTTTCAATATGCTGAGCATTTAACTAC